CGCCACTTGTTGTCCACATGCCGTTTTTAAACGCCATTTGTTCCCCACATGCCGTTTTAAACGCCACTTGTTGTCCACATGCCGCTTTACACGCCATTTATTCCCCACATGCCGTTTTAAACGCCACTTGTTGTCCACATGCCGCTTTACACGCCATTTATTCCCCACATGCCGTTTTAAACGCCACTTGTTGTCCACATGCCGCTTTACACGCCATTTATTCCCCACATGCCGTTTTAAACGCCACTTGTTGTCCACATGCCGCTTTACACGCCACTTGTTGTCCAAATGCCGTTTTAAACGCCACTTGTTGTCCACATGCCGCTTTACACGCCACTTGTTGTCCACATGCCGTTTTAAACGCCACTTGTTGTCCACATGCCGTTTTAAACACCATTTATTGCCCACATGCCGCTTTACACGCCATTTATTCCCCACATGCCGTTGTAAACGCCATTTATTGCCCACATGCCGCTTTACATGCCATTTATTCCCCACATACCGTTGTAAACGCCATTTATTGCCCACATGCCGCTTTACACGCCATTTATTCCCCACATGCCGCTTTAAACGCCACTTCTTGCCCACATGACGCTTTACACGCCATTTATTCCCCACATGCCGTTTTAAACGCCACTTGTTGTCCACATGCCGCTTTACACGCCACTTGTTGTCCACACGCCGTTTTAAACACCATTTATTGCCCACATGCCGCTTTACACGCCATTTATTCCCCACATGCCGTTGTAAACGCCATTTATTGCCCACATGCCGCTTTACATGCCATTTATTCCCCACATACCGTTGTAAACGCCATTTATTGCCCACATGCCGCTTTACACGCCATTTATTCCCCACATGCCGTTTTAAACGCCACTTGTTGTGTACATGCCACTGATCAGCTGTGGCAGGTGCCGGTGCCACAAAAGGAGCCTGCCCTTTCTCCACCTGCAGAGGGTCAGTGAGGGGCTGGTGCTATGAGACTTGGGTGGCATCTCTGATTGCCACCCCCCTGACCCAGAAATGGATTAAAGGGTAGAAAATGGATGGATGGATGGATATTGCACAGTCCCACCAGTACAAGGATACAAATTGACATAATAGTAAAAGACCACAGTTAAAAACAGTATTTACACAATAGGCAACAAGTACAAACAGTGACCAAAGTGCAAGTGCGTGCAGAATAAGAAAATACATGCCGTACAAATGCTTGCGCAGTCAGAAACACTTCAAGCATTGCACACGGCCAAATACAAAAAAAGGGGATACCATCACTGCAAAAATGATAAAGTATATAATTGCTGGCAGTGTAGGACGTTGTCTGTTGTGTAATTAGTACGGTGGCGCTCAAGCTTCAGAGGCGCGCACGGTCCCACACAAGCCGGCAGATATCTGAACACAAAAACAAGACATTTCCCAGGGCCCCACCTTTCCAACATGACTGCAGGAATCAGCCTACAGCGGCAGCAGCACAGTCCAACTGCGACTGATTTACAAGCTTCATGATTCTTACCTTGTATAATAAGTTGTATAAGTGTGTGTACTTGCAAGGGTGATTATAAATAGGAATGTAGGCCTCCATGGATGTAACCCTAACCACAATAGGAGTCTGGAGTCTGGAAGTAAAAAGTAATCATAGTATATGTAAAAAACATTATTAATTTTTCATTTTGTATGAATGTTTTGATTTCAATTTTCCTCAGTTATTTACCCTTGCTAGTAATTTTGTAGATTAAGAACCATGCGACAAATGGGGTGAGCACCAAACACCATCTCCTGGTACTCATCTGAATATCTCAATGAAAAAAGTGATGTGTATTATATATAATATGTGTGCGCTGCAACATTGAAATTCCCCCACTGTGGGACAAATAAAGGTTCTTAGAGCAGCAATCCTCCTGTGGACTCACCACCTGCAGGAGGATCAGTGAGGGGCTGGTGCTCTGTGAATTGGGTGCAGCTCTGACTGCCACCCCCCCTGACCCAGACATGAATTAAGGGGAAGAAAATGAATAGATGAATATTTCATGAGCTCATGACCCCAGGACACTTTCTATACAGCGCTCTTACTTCCATAAAAAGTTACAATTTTCTGTAAGATTTTCTTTTATTCATTCAGGTCCTTGTTTTAGTGGTGCTGCATCTTCTATAAAGTTTCAGGACTGCCCTTTTTTGTCTGTTTACCATCACATTTATGTCAGTTATTCCCACAACTAATTATCCACTGTTAAGTTCCCGTGAAATGATGTCACAGTGCTCAGCCCCATGAGCTTAATACGGCCTCGACGTATGCGCACAATCAACTATGAATTCTACTTTTATTACTCATATTTTCACAAAACAGATGGACAATATTCATAAGAACAGGCCAGCTATAGCAGCCTATCTCACAGACCCCAAACTCCTGTCCCAGGGAATTGATGGCTCAGTCATTGGCAAGCATTCAGCTACATTATTTCACAGCCAGTACATATGAAATGTTGAGATTGAGCTAAACTGTGTTATAGTAGCATTGAGTCTTGTGCCCCATAGCCCCGCCCTCTCAGCCTCTTTGTCATTAAAACATATGTATGGCTCTGCTTCAGCATAGACTGAATCTAAATAATCTAGAATTAAGCCCAAAAGGGAAGTTAACATGTACAAAGTTTTTGATGTTTGATGTTGAAAAATAAACTCCTCTAACTCAGTAACCTGTTAACTCAACATTTTTGGGCTTAAAAATTCTGTGGTTTAGCGCGGTCTGTGATCCTGGTGTTTATATTGTGATGTTGTCTTTGTAAATCCAGATATGAATCATAAAGATGTAAGTAAGTAAGTAAGTAATCTGTATTTATATACGCATTTTTATAACATTTCCAGTCCTGGATCAAAAGCCTGTCCATCCGGGGGAGCGGATCCTCTCTCATCGTGGGGCTTCTTCAAGGTTCCTACCTTTTTCTAGATTTTGTTTAGTTTTTAGAGTTGTCCTTGTCGATGCAGGAGGGTCAAAAGACAGTGATAATCCATAACATGTAAAGACATTTATGTATATTGATCATCCTACTCCTTATGGTTCCATATAGTTGATATTGCATGTCTTGTGTTCAAACTGTTTGATTCTCTGATCTGTTAGTGAATTGACAACTTTGTACAGTCCTAAGAGACAACTATCCTGTTATAATCTGTAAACTTGTTGCACTTTCTTCCTTTGTTAAAATTATGTGCTGCTTTGATGTTTTGTTTTACAAATTAATGTATTGAGCTCTCAATGTATATAGTCATGATCAATAACCAACTAAATAAATAAAGACTTTTTTGCGCTAGTTTGACCTTCAGCTTCTGTTTGATTTTTATTCAATAAAAAGTTGGAGGACCCTGCTTTAGAGCCTTAATGCTGTGGGGAAAGTGAATGAGCGTCTGTTATATGACCACCTCAGTGTCCAGCGTCTTTTTTGCGGACCAGGAACTACTCAGCCACTGTTTGGAATGTTCAACATTATTTATTATTACCACGTAATATGGTCAATGTAAAATGCACAAAAAGACAAGTACTCCACAAAAAATTGTTAAGTTATTTAAGAAAACATTTTATTTTACATAAACTGTACAGACTAAATGATTCTTAGACAGGAACTAAAAATAACTCTTATTAAATAGAAAACAAAAATAGATTTAAGATGAAAAACGACGTGTTCATGTATTGTACAAAACAGAATGAAAATAGAGCTAAGAAATGAAATCATATCTCGTACCCTGATACAGTGGTAGGCCTTTTGAAAATGATCAAAACATTATTGTACACAATGCCTGTGGCCTGGCCATCTTGGTACAATAGCTAAATTCGTGGCCTCTTTGGTTCCATTAATTAGGTAAATACATTTGAAACAAAATTCAATTTACTTCTATAAAAATATTTTTTTCCATGGCAGTTTTGTTACACTAATCCCGCAACTTTTCAGTGCAAACATCACAACAATCATTCGCTACAGAAAGTAAGCGAAAGATTACATTTCAAGTATTGGTAAAAGATGGAGGACTGTAGAGAGGGAGAGTGAAGAGAGAAGAGTGAGATTCAGTCTAAATGAGCGGTGGAGTATGGAATAGTTACTATACATTGCATAGCTCATGTGGCACTTATTTAGCAATAGGACAGGACACTCAGTACCCTTACAAGGCAATTCTTTATACAAGTGCTATTCAGGGTGTGCATTTCAGTTTCTGCAAGTGCTGCACCGCACCGTGGCGACCGACTGAGCCGCATGCAACTGGCCGTCACCCGGCCTCAGGCGGGGGAGGCAGTTGTCCACTCTCTGGAGCTCCCAGTGCACAAGTGAAGTGCACTTATGAAACTATCTTCACCTGTTTGTCATGGTAACAGGGCCTGCAGCACTCTAAACAGGCAGGAAGTTAAAGGTGGAGGCCCGTAGTCGACAGCGAGAAAGAAGACAACAATGGCAGCAGGACACTCTCTGCCACTTGCACAATGGTGGGTATAATCCTGAAGGCATAAGCGCTCCACTTCAAACCCACCAGAGGGGGCAGTCTGTGTACAGTGGGAAGTGCTGGTGTTCTGAGTTGTATAAGCTGATGAATTGTCAGTGCTTCATAAAACTTTAAAAGTCATGTGCTTAGTTCAAAGAGTTGTGTGAGAGCATTTTGATAGTCGGTTGATCCTGTCTCTTTCTTTAAGCGCTTCAGTCAGGATTTGATGGGCCATTATTTTTTGACTAGAAATGGCAAACTAGAGCAAAGCATCATTTGGTGATAGTCATTCCCTTCTCGTCCAATCACTGACCAGTTGTAGCCCGACAGACGGAGCTGACAGCGAGCACTCAGTCTGATAAATAAACACACTGCTGTGTGCAGAGGCACAGCAGCACTGATACCTTTGAGGCTGTACCAGTGTGGCCTGCACATACAGGTATAGATATATAGATATGTGTACCGTACAATAACGTCTTGTTTGCACCAAAGGCCGTTCTGACTGTTTCCAAGTTCACCAATGACCCAAGCACTGCGGCTCAGGCGCAGCCACACTCCTCAACAATCATGTTGGGCACATCCCTTTTGACAATGTTGTACTCATCGTCAAAGTAGAGCATGGACATAGTACTGAGTTTGGTGGGAATGCAGCAGGAGTTAACAGAGCCAGGGCTCATGCCTCTCATCCTGTACTGGTTTACTACAGCAGTGTGGAAGGACGAGACGGAGCCTGGTACCCCAGCCATGTAGGCAGGGCAACTCCCCTCACAGTAGTTGCCATAGTAACCAGCAGGGGCAATGATCCAGTCGTTCCACCCAATGAGGCGGAAGTCTATGTAAAACTGTTGCCGACAGCACAGTCCTCCACTGGTGCCGTCACACTCCAGGCCTCTCTTTCGGATGCGGTGCTTCCCGTCCACCTGCTTGGCCCGCACCACCAGGAAAGGTCGATGTGAGGGGTCACCGGGGTCCACCAGGATGGGGGCTACCCCGGCTGTATCACAGCCATCACAGTGCACCTCCAGGTCCTGTCTCCGGCTGCCTTTGCCGAACACCGCCCTCACTGCATCGGACAGAGGGAAGGTGTGCCAACCGCTGCGCTTGAGGTCCACTCGCTTTTCCACCAAAGCCCAGCGGCCAGAGCCCCCTCCTCCACCTCCTCCTGGACCCCCCTCAGCTCCTCCACTCAATGACCCTGCCTCCTGGTAGTGGATCTTCACCGTCACCTTCCTCCGCAGGCCCTTCTCCGGGCCCCCAGGCAGCACCCGGAAGTACAGCCACAGGTTGGCCTGGGCCACAAACAGGTTTTGGTTCCCCTCGTTGGAGATGAAGAAGAACAGGCCAGACTTGGGCGATGTATGTTCATCTGTCAAAGACACAAAGAAGAGAGAAACGTTAGTTATTTGCTTATTGTCTGTAATAAAGATAATAGTTGTACTTAAAGATTGAATGTAATATTTGCAGCAGATTTGAACAAGTTACATTCAGGTGATCTGTGTATGTTATGTATAATCTACTTCATGTTGATACTGATAAATCAAGAAATCAAGAATGTTCTGCAAATTGCATTCCAAATATGCCCATAGAGCTTAATACATTATCCCTTACCCAGATTGACATGGCAAACTGATGGATGTTATCAGCTGCAGTTAGATTTATGAATTTGAATCAACACTGTTTTCTGTTTAAAAATTCATCTTATCACATTTTTATTTGATGTTCTGTTTATGAATGAGGTTCTGCAATAGAACAGAGCAGATGCACTGTTGCCTTCACATTTGTACAGAGGTGTTTTCTTGTTTTCTATAGTCCCACAATCCACATGTCAGCTGACCCTGCACTGCCGCCTCTTATTGGCCAGCCAGGCCTGGGATCTGGCCCAATTGGCCTCAGGTCCAGTTTGCTAAATGACAGGGCCCAAGAGAAAGAGGCAGAGTGAAGGGGGAGGACAACACTGCAGAAGATGAAGGAAAGCAGGAAGGACGCAGCGCAGAAGGTGGGAGGGCAGCGGACACAGCCAAGGCCCTGGGGGGTTCAGCGAGTTTGCTACGGGTACCCCCATCCCCACACGGACCCCACCCCCAAGTGCACCCTGAGACTGACAGCACAAAGCCCCCTGTGAGGCAGTGGGAGACAGCCGCGCTGCACTTCACCATTGAATCGTGTGGCTTTCCAGCGAAAAAAAACAAACCATGATGAGGCAAAAATAAAAGGCATTTACATGACACTGGCCACTTTCTAAACACGCACAAAGAAGAGATCCAGGGAGTCTAAAGGTGGCCATGGGTCCTCCCGAGCACCAGCCTAATGATGTCTTCCAAATTACCCCGAGGTAACTTGAAAGGTTTCTATTTCAGGAGATTGGGTACAATGTGCTCAAGCCAAAGCAGCGCCTTTGAAAGCGGCTAAATTACTTTGTTTGCCGACTGATTAGTGCGTGTCACTGTCAACAGGTGGCCACCAAAGACGGGCCCCTCTTTACGCTTCTTCCTCCTGTAAACCACAGCTCTTTACATTCACACAGGCCTGTCGAGACCGGCTCCGCACTGCGCATACCTCCCTCCATGTCCAACAGTGGCCCTCTCACCAAAGCCCGTGGGTAAGAAAGTATCAAGAGCACTCTGAGTACAAGCTGAAATGCCTCCATAGCTGACAACACGACGGCAGCCGCAGCGTTTGCCTGCACCGCTGTAAAGGGCCCTCGGGGCTACAACAAACTGCGCTCACCTCATTCAGCGCAGTACACCCTTACTTGCCACGACAGCTCCAAGCTCAGAAAAAAACAAGGCTCTCACAGCAGCAAGTAGACCGTGACTGGGTGATAGATAGACGTGTAGACGTGCAAAATGATTACAAATGTTCCCTGTTTTCCGTAGGGGCTGTGTAGTTTTGACATTTCATGCTTCACTCGTATCATCGCTGATGAGGCTATCACAGGTGGACAGCTTATTTAAAGGACATAATGTGCAAAATGGATTTCGACACGTTTTTAACAAGTTTTTTGAGTGGTTCCTTGCCGATGCAGGAGGGTCTAAGGACAGTGATGACCCGAGATATTTAAGGACATTTATGGACAGTGGTTGTTCCCCTCCCTATGGACCAAAATCCCAATGTGTTTGTGATTATTGTATTTATACAGTTTTAACTGTTTGATTCTCTGATGTGTTGTAGATGAATCAACAACTTTGTTAAGTCCTCCAACAGTTGTTTTGATCAGTTGTTTTGAGCCCCCCGCTGTCACTTAGTCACTTCGGCTCTCTCCTCTTTCCGACCTTTTCTCTATTCATTTCTTGTAGATGTGCTTGTTTATTATAGGCGTTACATAATATATCCTGCATTTAACATGTTTGCACACTTCTTTCTTTGCACAAATCTTGAGTGCCAGATGTGACATGTACATTTCTCCTGCGTGAGATCAATAAAGTCTATCTTATCTTATCTTATATACAGTCTATGAAAGTGACTCAGCTTTCCAAAATTATTGCGATTTCATGTATCGTTCTGGACATAACAGAGAAGGCTTGTGTCTTCTTTGGAAATCATAAAAAGACGATTGGAATAGCATGGAGGGGTGAAAAGTTGAATCCCAATACCATTTAACAGAGTACACCGATGACATGTTATGCCATATTGCTCTCATACGCACCAGCATCTTGGATCACGCTGAGATAAAGACATAAAATCGTTGTGGGAAAGCAACAAATAATTTTCTTAACAACTATGTTCATGCTCACAATAATAATATACAATGCTGCATTCCCTCCGGCTGTTTATGATGCATTTAAAAGGCATGTAATGGATTGCACCAGCGATAAACAACAAGACTGTACTGGCGCGTGACATCTTATGATAATTTACTTTGGAGTTCTTTGCTCACACGTATACAGAAACACACTTTCCAAGAAACAAGATTGACAATAAAGTCAAACTATTGGGTTTAATGGTAATGGACATTTTTCTCATAAGATTGTGAGGTTTGGTTAGGATTTTAAAGCAAAATTGTCATATTTTTACTAAGAAATAATCCGCAATATTTTTTACTCATTATGAAAAATAATAAGGCCATTTACTTTCATTTCATGACTTTGAATGGGAAAACATTTCTTCAGTAGAAAATACATGGTGAAACCATAGACTGTAGATATTAATGGCCAGAGTCACGCCTATCTCCGCCATTCTAACTAATGGGCCAAAAAATGTGCTCTACTGGAGCAATCCAAAATGGCAGCGAGTGGTCCCGCCCACAAGAAAATTGTGAAAAAACGCATCTGCGATTGCGTCAGCCGGCGCAACTCCATTCATTTGAACGAGAGACTTCAAAAATTCACAGCAAGTAAACTAGAGTGGACCAAAAAAATCCATCCCCCTCAGCATTGACACACATGTGGAACGGAGCTTTGGGCCCAGAGCCAACTTTTGGTCCATCCTGTAAAGACGTTTTTGAGAGGTCTGCCAATGCTATATGTTAGCATTGGCTAATTCTATTTCTGGGTCCACCCCCATCGGCCCGGGGTGGTATTGCAGCATGTCAGCGCACGTCATTTTGGCCACTTTTGAGCTGGGACCCTCCCCCACTGGGTGAAACAAGTGTGAAGGGTGAATAATGCTTTCCTCCCATGATTCCCTATGTTGCCACCAAAAGGTGGGGTAAAATGCCTTATGTTTTTTTTTGCCAAATTTGAAAATGACTGGCTGCAAACAGAGTTATGTCATATGGTACAACAATGACATCATTCTATTACAGGAGATAAGAGCTTTGTGACAGAAGGGGCAGAGTTACATGTTTGTGGCATTAGGTCTTAAAGCTGCACTAACTGACTTTATTTTTGTATTCATTACAAAAATTCAATCCATATCCATGCAATGCATTGGGATATACGTCCTTTTGAAGAAAAAGTAGCGCAGGTTTGTGCTGGCGTGTCATTTAATTTTAGATCGAGTTTTGGTGAAACAAGGAAGAGGATTTGTTTCGGGTCCAGATTGTGACCAATCGCAGCGGACCACTGGCCCCCGCTTTCTTGAGAAAAGCTACAGGTCTCTTGTTAGCACAGACAGCTGAGGTAAACAAGCGGCGGAGGCTAACCTGTAGCTTCCTGTGTCTTTGTTACCGGTTTCTGCTTACACGGCAAAACAGCCATCCAAAAGAAAGTCTCGTTCCTCCGTGCTTCCCGGTTCAATCATTCTATGGTCAAGCCATCCACGTTCAAATGTGTCCATATTGTGAGACGTGAGCTCTGTATACAGTTAGCATGAGCAGAGGCTGAGGGGGGGCGAAAGCTACGTGCGGGGAGGGCGAGCAGAGAGCGCGAGCTCAGCATTCTGATTCAAAAGTTTCTCAAAGTCAGTCAGTGCAGCTTTAATATTAGCGTGGACGGATCTTAAAACATGTTTAAGATCATAGTTAAAAGCTCAAAAAACTAAATTGTGTATCAAATTCCTGCGTTAAAATAATCATGTAACTGTTTTAAAATAACAGTCTTTGAAACTTGCTCCAGAGAGGATTTCCAAACCTTTTACACAAAGCCACGAGTTCAAGCTCCCGCTTCAACCATCGGCCAAAGATGGTTATCAGAAAAGATCAATGGGAGTAATTGTATTAGCGACACAATAAATACATCCCGTCTAAATGTGTTTCTGTGGGTTGCAAGACAAGAAGGTTGTGGTTCGACCCTGTGTCAGCTAGGCCTTTCTTTGTGAAGTTTGCATGTTGTTCATGTGTCTGGGTGGGTTTCCTCCAGATGCTCCGGTTTCCCCCACCACCCAAAACATGCCCGACAGGGATAATCCTCCATCTTGGGTCCTGGCCAAGAGCATCAACATCTGGAGATCGGTTCCAGGACCCTGCACCGTGGTGACCACTGCTTCTGACAGTGGTCCTATGGCATTGGTGTCAAACTGGTCCTCAAAGGGCCGGAGTGGTGGCAGGTTTTCTTTCTAACAAAGCAGGAGCACACCAGAAAATGGCTGGAGTCTGGTGTGCTCCTGCTTGTTTGGATTGAAAACATGTAGCCAAATTGGCCCTTTCTGCAACCAGTTTGACAGCCCTGCCTTACTGCATTGGAAGGATGGGTCAAATGAAGCGGACAAATGTCCATACAGCGAAAATAATTGTGCACTGATTTGTTAACTTGTTGCGCTCTCCAGTTACTACTGGCCAATAGTGTCTGCATGCACAAATTTCATTAAAATTACAAAAAATATAACACAGATTAGTAAATTACAAGGTGAAAAAAACAGAACAATACTAATCAATACTAATTACTTACTTACTACTACTTATTAATTATCAGAACTGAACACATTGCAACTATGGTGCCACTTATAAATGAAAGGCAGATAAGCAGGGCAGGTGCTGGTTAGTACTGTGATAGGAGATGTCTGAGAACACAAGGTACCACAGTGGGGCGGCTGCGGATGTAGAGTGCCAAACTAATGTTGTATCCTTAGGCAAGACACTTCACCCACATTTCCTAGAATGAGTCTGGTGTGTGTGTCTGTGTGCGTGTGTGTGTCCTTTGCACACATGTTACGTCGTCTTTATTTATGGCGCGTGCAGATTTGAACATTTCTCTTCCCCTTCTCAAAGAATGCATGCGTGCCAACTCTTTTTCCACTGTCCTTCTTGTGCGGAATTAATTGTTCTCTTCACGCCATGTACTTTCAGCTGGCCCCAACACGCCTTGTCTGACCTGCGCGCTCCGGACGTGTGGCTGAAGCCGGGACACCTGGGTGGGCTCCAGCGTGTCCCCACCTGCGCCACCAAAGCGCCAGCGCTGAGGCCGTAAAGCAGCCGTGAGGGAGGAGAGAGGGGAGAGGGTAGGGCTCATTACTCACTGAGAGAGCTCTGTCCGCCAGACCACACGCAAGCGTGCTTTGGTGAGGGCTGTGTTCAAGAGGTACAGGTGGAAACGTTTGTTTATTTCTGTAACACAACTTAAACTGTGAAACTAATACATGCTTTTATGGCCAAAAAAGTGACTTTGCCAAGCTTTTGTTTATTTCTCTCAGATTTAATTTTGTTGGTTGTACCAGTAATTCCTATTCACTTCACACACAATGATGACAAAAGCGAGACAGCAAAGACATTGGTGCATCAAGGCCTGGCGGTGAAATTGAATCCTGGACTTTTTATCTGTGAAATGGCTAAAAAATATATATTTCACACTCAATAGTTTCTTCCTAAGAATTATTTGTATTGGGAATTATAGTTATTTTTTTCATGCAAAATCATCTTTAAATTACAAAACGACCTAATCACTAAATTCAAATAAAACATTTACAAAATAATACAGAAACACAGAAACTTTAATGAAGTTTAAAAAAAAAACACTTTATTTCAAATCTTGACTATTATTGGTATCAGCTTGTAAAGCCAAAAGCCAAATTCAAACTCTCAGGAAAAGTGTGTAGGACCTTCAGAAAGAGTGGACTGACCTAGTGGTGACATCATCATAGTTTTGAGGAAAAGGACGATTTGAACATAAGCTAGCAGGAGCCAATTTTCTTGTATGGGCATTTCTTCCGCAGAATTAGCTTTGCGCCTTAACAGGCACCAAACAGCTAAGACAAGCCGTAATTTCTCCCACAAATTATGGCATCTGATTGGTCAATCCTTACGACCAGAATCATACAGAGAACTAAACCACGGATTTCTGAAGCCCAAAATGGTGAGTGTGACATAAATTGTTCCTGAGCTAGACATGAGCACTTCGCTATCGGGCTCCATTAAGCTAGCGAGTCTGTATACAGTCTATGGGAGTGGACTAAGACCCACACACAGATGGATCATGGACGAGGGCACAAGTAAGTAAGTAATCTTTATTTATATACCGCCTTTCACAGACCAGAGTCACAAAGCGGTTTACAATTGTTATTTTTGGGCATTTGTTCTCTCACTCCACACAGAGATGGGAGCGGGGTCGCCAGTACAGGAGGCGCATGCCAGACCTATTGAACATGTTTTTAGTGGTAGGGGAAACCGGAGCACCCGGAGGAAACCGGAGCAGACACGGGGAGAACACGCAAACTCCACTCAGAAAGGCCCTGTTCCAACCGGGATTCAAACCCAGGACCTTCTTGCTGAGAAGTGACAGTGCTATCCACTCAGCCACTGTGCCGCACAACAACCGACTCCTCTCGTGAACCTGTATACATTTGTATTATTCGTAAAAAAAAAACTGGCCTAGTTTAGAACTTGTGATCAATGGTTTCATTTACAGGTCCAGTCACATGTTAGGTACAATGGGGACTTAACATGTTATGCTTGTGTGGGGTTTAGTATTACACTGTACTATTATTAAGAGTATTGCACATTTGTTCACTGCATACATTTGAATAATGGCTAAGAAACAGAAAATGCTTCATAAATAAACCTTTTCCTGGCTTGTACTACTTGTATTCTATTTTAAGTTTTTCCTTGCCGATGCAGGAGGGTGTAAGGACAATGATGATTCGGAACATTTACAGACATTCGTTTTCCCACTCCCTCTGGCTTCTATGTGTTTTTAAGAAGAAGAAGAAGATCCTTTATTCGTCCCACAATGGGGAAATTTCAGTTTAATGCATACACATACACATATACGCACACACATATACATACATCAAGGCAAGCAGCGAACATTACTTCGCGCTCCTTATAGGCAAAGTGGGTTAAGTGTCACAACGACAGCAGACATCAGTGGGAGTAAGTGAAGAAGGACTTGTGGTGGGCTCGAACCCACGACCTTCGGGCCCAAAGGCCAATGGGCCTTTGGGCTGAGCCACTGTCGCCCCCATTTTATTATTGCACTTCATGTGTTCGAAGTCTTTGAACGGTTTAATTATCTTATCTGCTGTTGGCCGATCAACAACTTTGTAAATACTCTGCGACAACTGCTGATGTGATTTAGGACAAAAATAATTTAAATGTACAAATTGCATCAAGGTTAGTACATCATGACTTTGCATATCTTCAGCTTGTGACAGGCCTCATGAATTGATAGGACATGCTTTTCTGCACAAACTGCCAAATCATCCCTTCTGCGGACGTCTGGCACACGTTCCAAAAGCCCCATATGACCCATAATCTCCAATCTGTAAAACTCAACTTATGATTCCTAAGAAGAGGATTTATGTTAGAAGGAAGCATTTTTGGTTCCAGACTAAAAGAGCTCTTTCTTTGTGACTGCAGAGCGTTGCCTTTGATAAATCATTTGATTTACAGCATCGGGTGTGCTGCAAGGAGCATGTGATGGACGTGTCATCGCATGCAGACATATGGCATGAATAATCGCATTCTAAATGTAATTGTACCTCAGTAAAGACGTATTATCAAAGCCAAAGTGAGTGACAAGTATTGAGTGCTACTAGAGGACTTATATAAATGCCAAAAAATAAACTAAATCCTAATGATCACAATGACAGCGCTCAAGCACAATACATTAAACGTTTTGAAGTTGAGCCACACTGCAGCCAGATCACTATAGGATTAGCAAACTAGCTATTAGCCGTTGCGTGCGTCCTTACCGCTATTATATAGAGCTATTGCATGGATATCAACATAGCAATCCTCTGTAAAGACCTTTTGTGTTTTCACTCGTAAGCACACCAATGGGGTGAGTCAACCTGCAAAGAACCCGATAGAGACCTTTTCAAAAGCGTCAATAGCTTTCTTCCTGCCCGATCAAAGCCGCTCATTTGCCATCTTGCTTTTTTTTTTACTCGGACTATGGGGGCAATTTTAATAAAGCAGCATAAATCATTGATGTTCCCATTCAGCTCGCGCCATTCAGGCCTGAGACGCGCACTTGTGGCTTGAATGTGGAAAATGCTTGGCGTGGATCCAGAGGTATAGCGATTGACAGCTCCCCCGTGAAAGAACGCTGTCCCGAGGTAAACCTAACCAGTCCATGACCTTCCATAGTCCAGGCTTGAATCGCATTTATGGTGCGTTGGGAGTTCACCGGGTCCGAGGGTCCATAGGGATAGTTGGCCAAAGCTCTCCACTGGAATGCACTTCCAGGATAGCTTCAAGTTGGATATAATTGATTTATGGACATTGGTCACCTGCCCCTTATGGACCAATGTGTTGTTTTAACATTGCATTTCCTGTGTTTGATTCTCTGATCTGTTAATTTTTAAGTTGGGTGTTATAATACATTTAGATTTTCCCATTGTAAAATTAGGTTATTCCTTGTTTGTGTGTGTTGCATTGTGAGACAAAGTTCTCACGTTTTCGAAGCATCTCTGCACCTCTGAACCGGCGATAGATCAAGCAAGAGAATATGGTCACGATTCCAAAGCTGATTAAATTCCATTTCTTTTCACAAAGATTTTTTTTTTCTTTCGTTTTCCCAGACTTTTCCAGGTGACCGTACAAAACGTCTTATCAACACAATGGCGTATCCACTTCCTGAAACTGCAGCATCATGGACAGGCCGCTTCCTTCAGTGATTCCACATTGTAAAACACAAAAAGTGAACCTTCTAAAGACACAAACCCTGCATCATATGTGATCTTTAAAGCTTTTAAGGCCTCGAACTTGACTCCATCCAATCTTCATCTCTTTTCTAACAATTTAAAGACTAGACCCTGTTTTTTCCTCCACTTTTTTGTTCTTTTGAGCAGCTCTGGCCCGTCAAGTGCAGCTGCTCCGCTTCTGTGAGTACGGGACACCGAATACCTCTCCCGCCCAGCACCCATGGGAGCGTGTCAGAGAGAGAGAGAAGGGAGATTGGCAAAAGCCCTTCCCTTGGCAGACCTGGCAGCCTCACAGAGATAAGGATGGCCGGTTGGAGAAAAAAAAGCTGCGGTTAACCCGAGCGATGCGCGAGGCAAACTGACCTCGCCGTAAACTCCTTAACCGGATACGCTTACGGCTAAACAAACAAGCACCACGCCAGAGGGAGTAAATTGCTAATGCTATACTTGAGAGCTTAATTGGCTCCAACCTTTGACTAACCTTTTGCCTCCAACAATGAATCCAGCCTTTTAGCCACGACAAAAGACACGGCGTACATTTGGAAGACATCGGATTGAGCCGGAGAAAACAAGGCCTGTGTACAGTTTATGAGCCAGTAGCTTTAAAAGGCAAATGTTAGATGGAATTGAATAGAGTTGTTTTGGTCACACTTTAGTTTAGTCCTGACTAGTTATTGAATGATTATTGAAATTCTTCAATGGTCAATAATTGTATCTATAAAACATGGGGCGAGAGTCCATAAAATTGTTGATCTTCCCACTACATTTTGAGCTGATAATTTGGAAATATAGTTGTAAAAAAAAAAAATAGTAAATGTAATTGTAGTATGTCGTCAAAGTGTTATACTTTGATCTAAATCCAACATGCTGTGGTCAAGCCATCCCTTTTGAAAAACTTAGTTCGAATGGAGGAATTCCTTTAACTTATGTGGAAGCAATACTTTAGTTTTGAAAGACAAAAAACGACAATTTGATTACATCATAGTCTGAGGATTAGTAATAGTTGAAGTCACTGGGCTCATAATGGACTGTTCTCACAAGGACGGGACACGATATATCCACAGCCACAATATAGACAACATACTGAGGAGTGGTGGGGAAAAGATCGTAATAAAGTGTTGCATTATTTCATATTTATCTTGTGTTTTCGTGCATTCATTACATTGTTTTTTGTCCAAGTAAAGTGGAAACGTGTTCTCCCTCTTCTTGTTCTATCCCCAATGTTCAGCCAAAATACATTTGGAAAATAGTTATAGAAACAATTGTGTCTCTAAGGCCACAAACTAAACAGAACAAGTTTTTTTTTTTTTTTTCAAGTTACCAGTAATGGTCCTGGAATGTTAGATTGCACCACAGAAGGAAACGTTTG